CGTCCGCCCCAGCCTCCATAGCAGCATCTTCCTTCTTACTCTCTCTACTTTGGGATAGGTAAAGGTAAAAGGTAAAGGCCCTCCCGTTGATCGTCGATTTGCTCGAGCGGGCCCAGTAACGTCTCCATTGGAGACTTTGTTGTTACTGTGTCTGGCATATCGAATACTCTCGGTAGCTTGCCAGGCTCTCCGAGAGGGGAAAGGTAAAGACCCTCCCGTTGATCGTCGATTTGCTCGAGCGGGCCCAGTAACGTCTCCATTGGAGACTTTGTTGTTACTGTGTCTGGCATATCGAATACTCTCGGTAGCTTGCCGGGCTCTCCGAGAGGGGCGGAGGAATCGAACTCGGGTCAGCCATGTTGGCTGCTTGTAAGGCGAACACCCTACCGCTGTGCTATCGCTCCAGCCCACTTTGGGATATTATAGTTTGAAATACAGATACTGAGAGACCATCATGTTTGGTCCTTTGTCTACTTTCAGTGCACATCTCCCATTCCGAGAGATCCTTCCAACCATCATTGGCAGAGGTCCCTTTTCTATCCTAACTGCTGTCTCCCCCAGCACATGAGGCAGGCTTCCAACCATGGAGCGATCCTCCTGGCCCTTGCCTCTACTGTCCTTGGGCTTGCGGAATATAAAATAACATGAGATTAGCTTCCTTTTCTAGGGTGCCTCAGACTTTTGGAGCCCCTGCAGGGATTCTGATTCTGGGAAAGTCTCTTCCTTGGTCCAGGGTGAGGCCCTGTATCCTGTGCTCAGGAGGCGTGACTTACTCTACTGAACAAGGGGAACTTTCCTTGTGGAGCTTTCTAGGGACCTCAGTGTCCCACCTAGTGTCCATGGGAGCAGAGTGCTCCGGAATGTTCTCTCTAATCTTGGTCCGAACCTCTGCCTGGAGTGGTTCATGAGACCTGTGTTATAGGCTAGCATTATCCAGTCCACTTCCCAGCTAGGAAGGCATGCGACGGACAGAGTTATCAGCTCCTTTGATTGACCTCAGAACCTGTTGGCCACCAGCTTATTTCTCAAATCAGATGTCCCCACTGGGTGGAAGGTCGTTGTGCAATCTCTTTCTTTAGCAACTGGCTTGTTTTTTGGTGCAATCTGCGCATTCATGGAGGACATGGCATTTACCAAGGCCAACAGGGTCACAGATTTTGGAATCTGTCCCAGGCACTGACTTGCAACAGTTGGGGAGTTGTGTGGTCTCATTTGACACTGCGTTCCAGAGACAAGGGAGACAGTCCTCCCTGTTTCACAGATGAGGAGTCTGAGACCCAAATAAGTGACCACATGCTCGGTGAAGTCAAGCCAGGCTGAAAGGCACTGGCCTGCACTTTTACTTTGTTCCAATGTCTCAGCCACCAGCCCTGGGATCCATCCCGGGCCCTTATGGCTTTTCTCTTTCAAGGTGTGGGTTATTGATGGATCTCGTGTGTGAGCTTCCATCTGCTCACTATGACTCCGTGTCCTGCCACTTCCCCAAAGGGTTCCTTTCCCATGCCCCCCCTACACCTCCCTCATTCCTGAGCACTCCCTTCCTGCAGCTATTCTAAAGTCTCTTCCTCTCTCCTCAAGTTCCTCTCGTGTATTTATTTCTTTTCTTAAGCTCCAGCCCTGAGTGTCTGAGTCAGTGGAAGGGGAGATGTAGGCCTTATCCGGTAGGGGAGTCCACCCTTCCTTTTACCCCCACCCTGATTTCTAGGGCCCCTTGACCTCAAGCCCACAAGGAAGGGTGGGGGAAAGTGCGGGAGGCTTTTGAATGAGCATTTTCTGAGGATCTGCAGAATTTTCAGTTAAGGAAATGTTGAATAATCTCCAGGCTGTATGGTCCAAATGGAGAAAAGTGGTTAAATCATTTGTTGATCGGGTCACACCTCGTGGCTGGCCCCCAAGCTACGATACCCACTAGGGTAGGACACTACAGCCATGGCAGAGCAGCTGTCATACTTTATATGCAAGACATCTGCTGATGGAAAAATCTTTCTGATACCCAGCACTCTCTTCCACTGCCAAGACTGTCTGTCAGAAGGGCTGCTAGTAGTGGGCATAAGCAAATGGACTGCTCCTTGCTCTTTGAGCGTGTCATGGTCCAGAAGGGTGGTTGGGGTTGAGTTGGGGCTACGCCACCACCATGCCATCCCCTCTTGCGAAGGGTCTTTTGATTTCCTGAGTGCAGCACCCCAGGGGGCCCTTTCAGTAGATGTGGAAGCAGCCTGAGATGGGCTTACAATCCATTCATTTTTTTCCACCATTGCTTACACTAACACTTCCCAATTTTGTGGTTTATTTGTTTGTTTTGTTTTGCGGGCCACACCTGGCGGGACTCAGGGCTGATTCCAACATTTCCCAATTTCAATTCACTGGGTTAGTTCTACTGTGAAAAAGAAGGTAAATATTGTAAGTTGGAGAAAAGTAGCATAGAGCAGTCACCAACTCTTCAAGGATGCTTAGCATTCTAGGGAATATGGTTTGGGAAAGACTGAGCTATGAAATAAAGGCCAGGTTCCATGCCTAGGAGCCAGGCCTTTAATGAGCTACCTCTTCTTGGCCCTGTAGCCTGGTCCTCATCTCTTGCCTCTATACCCTCTGCTGCTCCGCCCAACTCTGCCAACTTCTCTGGGACATTGATTGCTGGCTTCTGAACTTTGACTCTGCCGGACATCCCACACCACCAACTCCATCCTCTTCCGTCCTATTCATCTTTCATGGGTTCAAGCCCAGTGCCTCTCCATGGTAACTGGCCCAGCCCACTCCTCTTTCCCTTGTTCCCATAAAACTAGAACATATGACTTCAGGCCCCTCCCTTCAGGATAGAAATGATAGCATCTCACTTCTGGGAACTTTATCCATTCATGTGTCTGACTTTTTGGCGTGTTTGCTTTTGGTTTCTTTTGGCTGGTTTAGCCTTTGATTCTTTTTAGAATATTTTTTCCAAGTTTTTCCTCCAAGTCTTTTTTTTTTTTTAAGGATGGTTTGGGGAACAAGAGAGAGCTACATACCAACTTAAAGCACTGTAGCACTGTCCTCCCGTTGTTCATCGATTTGTTCAAGCGGGCACCAGTAACGTCTCCATTGTGAGACTTATTACTGTTTTTGGCGTATCGTGTATGCATGGGAAGCTTGTCAGATTCTGCCATGTGGGAGAGATACTCTCGGTAGCTTGCCATGCCCTCTGAGAGGGGGGAGGAATCGAACCCGGGTCGGTTGCATGCAAGGCAAACACCCTACCCACTGTACTATTGCTCCAGCCGCCCCCCCCCCCTTTTTTTAAAGGATGGTATGGGGAACCAGAGAGAGCTACATACCAACTAAAAAGTTTTTATTATTATTATTGTTGTTGTTGTTGTAAATGTGAAATTGTAGTTAGCTATTCAAACAGTTCTTTCCTTCATAAAGGCCCTATGCTATTCTTGTTGAGCTAATTGTTGGCTAAAGAGATGATGTTTATTTCATTTTTTTTTTTCATTTTTTTCTACCACTTGTAGTAGATTTTAACACCTTGTTTTTGCTATGTGAAATGCCCTTGATTTTTATCATTGTTTAGCAGACAAACCCTGCGTTTTCTTTTTACCATGTCACTATCATTCTTAGATTTCCCAACAATACTTTCATGTTAATTTCTTAATCATCTGGTTGACGATGTGGATTTTTGTAGTTGAGGATTCAGGGTAAGACATTCTTCCTACTCAGGTAAGAGGGATTCCGGAATCCTCAATGATCTGCTTTACTCTTTCCTGATCATCAAAAAGAAAGTGTCTGTTTGTCGTAGGAAGGACAAAGTGACCTCTTTGCCTCCTGTGTTGGCTCTATCTTTGGGTTTTTAGCCTTTTTCCTACTCTTTTCCCCTTTCTCCTGGCCTCTGCCAGGGCTCTGCTTTGATTTGTGGTCAGGAGTTCCTCTTGTCCTGTCCCCTCTTCCTCCTCCTTTCCCAAGTTCCCACAGGAACCTGGGAAGTAGGTTGTGTCCAGAGGTTAGAACGGAAACAGCAGGAAGATAACTCTAAGAGACAATGCCCAGTTGACGTCATTTCAACTTTTCTGCTTGCTAGAGGTATTTGTTTCTTTCTTCCAGCTTTCTTCAGGTTGCTTGTCTGCCCCACCCAACCTTGGGCCTGTCAGTCTCTGTTTGCAGGCTCTCTGGCATGGCCTGATGAGTTTATGTGTTTCCTGAGATTCTCATTCAAGGTCCATAGTTCTAAGTGTTGCCTTGGAAACTTGGACTCTGGTGGAGCTGCTTTTATGTGAAAGAAACCACAGGGACAAACTCTCCTTACCCCATGGACTTATCCATGGGATGAGAATTTTGAAACCTAAAACTCCAGAAAAACACCAGCATGTTCAATGAGTTAGCATCCATTGTAAATATATAAATATATGTATATATATACGTGTATATATATAAAACCTTTATTCACTTTGGCTGCTGTTCTTTAATGAGTTCCAATCTGGGAGAGGGGAAAGGGAACCAGCATTTGGGTTTTTTGTTTGTTTGTTTGGGGACCACACCCAGCAGTTCTCAGGAGTTATTCCTGGTTTTGCACACAGGAATAATTCCTGATGGGCTCAGGGAATCCTATGGGATGCTGGGAATCAAACCTGATTTGGTTCAAGACAATTACCCTACTTGCTATACTATTTCTTCAGCCCAGATACCAGCATTTGTGAGGACTCTGTGCCAGGCTGGGTGCTAAAGCCAATCTCATTGACTGTGCTTAATCTCAAAGTTAGCTCCCTAGAAAATCTCCATTAAGGAAAAAAAAAAAGTGTGTGTGTGTGTGTGTGTGTGTGTGTGTGTGTGTGTGTGTGGCTACAGGAACTAAGGCTCAGGATTTAAATGACTAGCTTGAGGTCCCATCCAAATTGGGCGTTCTTTCTCCTAGATGCCACCCCAGGCATGGTTCCGTTTGGTTCCAGATGGTTCCATTTAGCGAAAGCACCGAGGGTTGTTAGAAATGCTGAGTGAGTCCCTGAGCGTGTGTTCCTTTTCTCTCCCTCCAGCTGTACCTGCAGGCCCGCTTCACCTGGCGAGGTGCCCGCCTTCTGCGACCCCTCCTGCAGTTCACCCTGATCATGATGGCCTTTTACACAGGACTGTCCCGCGTCTCTGACCACAAACACCACCCCAGTGACGTCCTGGCAGGATTCGCTCAAGGCGCGCTGGTGGCCTGTTGCATAGTAAGTCTCGTCTTGCCTTCTGTGTGCAGGCAGTGCTCTGGATGCTTTGCTGGTGGCCTGTTTCACGCCTCTCCTCTGCCTGGTGTGGGGAAAGCGACTTGTGCTGGGACTCTAGTCCAGCGATTTTTCCTTTCCACATAATCTTGGTGGGAGTTTTCATGCCAGCCAGGCCTGAGACCCCCTCTTCTCCAGGAAACAAGGGGTTGGGGCTCCCTCAGCATTAGAGATTGGAAGAGAGTTGGGAATTGTCTGTCTGCTCACTACGTGCATGTGGACATTTCAGGGTTCAAGAGGGGAAGAGAGTCACATGTCAGGACTCAGTCCCCTGACTCTTCAGATGCTCACGTGTCGCTTCGGTGGGTACTTACGATGCCCTGCTTCTGGGAAAGCAGCCCTGGCCCCCATGCCCTTCGATGCCACTTGCTCAGCTGCAGATGCAGCTTTGACAGGAGTTTGCTGGAGGCTGTGCCCTCCCCGAGGAGGGTACCTGGCATGGCCAGGCATGGGTCTCCCGAAGCATGGTTCAGAAATGGGCTTCTGATTTGCCCCAAATAAATGGGCTCCCCCTTTTCATGTAGCTCATCTGACATCCAGGGTGGTGGGAAAGGCATGACACCTGTCCTTGACCTGAGCCCCAGCTCCTTGTCAATCTCTGCTTTTCCTGTCGCTCAAAGTGGAAAGCGAGTATTTGGCAAAGATAACAGAGCACCTATCTAAATGGCGCTTCTTCATCAGTCCAACAGGAACCCTAGAAGCTGTATCTGCTGCTTGAGTACTGCACATGTAGCTTGCCTGGTTGTTAGGGGGCTCCTAGTGCATTCACAGGGAGACCTTGGGCAATAAGTTAGAGATGGAGACCCTTGCCTTTTGCTAATGTGAAGCCTGGCTGCAACCCTACATCGCCTCCCAGTACCCTGCATCTTACTCTCCTCTGGGCTGACAGCTCTCCATATGGGTATTGTTGCAGGGGGCGAGGGACTCTTATGGGGATTCAATCCTAGAGGGCAGCGGGCAGTTAGAACATGCTATTCTCACTCACTGTGACATCAGGAAGCCTACCTCTGAGGAAGTCAGTGTGCCAGGAAAAAAAAAACACATCAATCTTGGCACATGTCTAGAGGGTATTCTCTAGAAGGCAAAGCAGTGACCAAGGCCGTAGGCCTCACTCCCTGGGAATGCTCTGCCCAGTTGCTCCACAGAGCCCAGCCAAGCACCGATGTTGTAGTACAAAGTAGTACTTGCATCTGAGGCCCCATGCAAAGAGAAAGAGTAGCTGGGGTGATAGAGATGGGCGTCCCGTAGAAAAAAAGCACTGCTTGCGTGGGAACCTGAGCCTCAGGGCGGGGCCAGGTCCATGTCTTTCTTCATGGTTTTCTTTCTTCTTTTGTCAGTCAGGCGCAGAAGGGAGGGAGATTGGGGGAACTCCCCACTAATGAGACTAGCTGCTCACTGGCCCTTGATGCAAAGTGACAGCGGGGGAAGGGGGCTTGCAGGAAATGGGACAAGCCCTTTGCTCACTCGACCTTTCTGAACGCTGCTCTGGGCAGGAGACCAGCCCCTGGGGCTTTCGGTTGTGCTTCCTTACCCCCTAGACCACTGCCCTGATTGGGGTCTCCTACACCCCCGATAATAAAGTCAAAGATCCATGGAGTGGAGGTCCTTTCTAGCCTTCCTCTGTTGAGATCCAAGAGCCTCAGCCCTGCACAGTTAAGAGGAAATGGAAGGATCTGGGTGCATTTCCAAGAGGGACAATAACTTGTTTCTGTTGGGATGGGGGGGGGGGGGGGGAGTGAAGGACTGGGTTCAAGCATTGCTCATTTTTCTCCTCTCTGGATACTCTTGACCTCTGTCTCTTAGGAGGCCCAGGCAGCCTTTGACTGTGACTGACAGATGAGGAAATGAGGCACAGAAAGGTGACAGTCCCCAGGTCAGAGCCAGACACCTAGCAGGCTTGCTGACTCCAAAGCTTTCACCTTTGTACTTGGCAGGGATAGACAGCCACAGGCCGGTGACGCCAGGTGTCCGAGGTGCAAACAGCTGCTCAAGGAGTGTCATTTTGGGGTCCTGCAAGGACCCTCCCAGCTCTTATGGTCATCTTAGTCTTTGCTTGTCGTCTGAAAGTCTGTCTTATAGATAGAGGTGCCGAGAAAAGCAGAAGCGAACATCCTGCCCTTTTTGGCTCTTGTGGCAGGAATACATGGAGGCAGGGGCTCTGCCTTATTTATCAGTTTGAGAACTTGCCTGGTTCTCGGGAGAGGCTCAGGCTGTGAACACGCCTATAAGGAGTTGGACATTGGACAACCTATGAGCCTGCCAAGGCTTAGCAGGGAGAAAATAGGGCCATGGGCCCTTTCCGCTGCAAGATCTGCTGCCCTGGCTCTGATGGTGAGGAAGACAGACACAGTCAGGGTCCCACATGGAGCAGAGATGAGGATGGGGATAGGGAACTGGTGGGAGGACCAGGGGTGACTGCCCCACTGTGTTGCTGACCTGATAATGTGAACAGGAGAGGGGTTTCTGTTTGGGCTTTATGTTTGTTTGTTTGTTTGTTTGTTTGTTTTGCTTTTTTGGGTCACACCCGGTTATGTACATGGGGTTACTCCTGGCTCTGTACTCAGGAATTACTCCTGGCGGTGCTCAGGGGACCATATGGGATGCTGGGTATCGAACCTGGGTTGGCCGCATGCAAGGCAAATGCCCTACCCACTGTGCTATCGCTCTGGCCCCCCAGAGAGGGGTCTTTGGCCTGCTTCTTTCTCTCCTGGGGCAGAAGTTCCCTCAGAATTACAGCCATGCAGGTCTGTCCACAGAGCCAAAGAACAGCATTTTCAAAGTCTGACCACTAAGCGCCTGACCCATCATCTTCTTTCCCTCCAATCCTCTCTGAGTCCTTCCTGCAGAGAGCAGGGAACAGGGCCTGAGAATCTTGGGGTCCCGTGGAGAGAAGGGCAAAGCTCAAGTGGGCCTTGCCCTTTCACAGGCCTCCTCTCCCACTCAATCCAGGCACGCCAGCCCACCCTGGTTCCCCTCTGAGCACTAAGCTCACATCTCCCCAAGATGTGCCCGTGTATGGCGCCCCAAGTGCTCATCTCTGAGCGTGCCTTCTCCGTCCATTTCTGTGTTGCTGCTGTAACATAGGGCTGCCCTCTGGTTTAAAACATTATCTCCATTTTCCCATGGTTCTGGAGCTCAGAATGTTGAAATGGATCTCACTGGGCCCAGTGGAAATGTTGGCAGGGCTGTGATTCTGCCAGGGGCTCAGGGAAGAACCTGTTTTCCTTCACTTTTGGCTCAGTTCCCTCCTCTACCCCTTCCCCTTGCCCCCCAACAGCTTCAAACCCAACAGGTAAAATCTTCAAATCTGCCGCTTGCTCTTTCTGGCCTTGGCTTCTGTGGTGGCATTTCCAGGGACCTCCTGTCCCACCTCTCCCCTCCAGGCTCATGGGGTGGGTAAGGGGGAGTGGGGAAAGACTCCCAGACAAAGCAGGTAATCTCCCCATCTCAAGAACTTGCACTGACATCTGCAGAGTCTATTTCGCATTGGAAGGTGTGTTTCTGTGGTTCCTGGGCTGAGGGCAATGGTGTTGTTTCATTTAGGACAAGTGCGTTCACTCATCTTCTCTGAAGCCAGAACTGTCTGACTTTCTCTGAGCCTCCATGGCCTTTGCACATTCTTCCCACGTCTGGTTTTGTTCTAATTGCCTGCTTGGCTCCCTGTCTCCCCATCCGTGGATTAACCTTCTGGTTGTTCATTCCCGTGCTGAATACAGTGGCTGAAACACAATAGGTGCTTGATATAAACTTTGGTGAAGGAATGCTTAGGGAATTAGTTTGTGACCTCAGGCAGGATACTCCTCCCCCCACTGGATCATCTCTGGGGGCATCTCCTGCACGCTGAGTGTCACCAGACTGGCTCAGCTTTCTCAGGTGGCACCATCTCCCTGCCAGGCCCATGAAGGTGGTCTCCCCTGGGGAAGCGGAGTCCTGTCCTGGCCTTCAGTCCCCAGTGGGTGCAGTCCTTCACCCCACAATGCTGCTGAGTCACCACAAGGCCCTAGGCATTAGGCCAGGCCGGCTAGCGCCTTCCCCTGGATCTGTGGAGAGTGAGTCTTGTCACAGCAAGTTGACTTGTCTAGACAAAAATTACTTGCCAAAAAGGAGAGGGTTCAGTCCCTCCTCTGCTCAGGTCACTAGTTGAACTGTCTGCTGAGAGGGAAGACAGTAGAACCCAGCACAGGCAGACTCTCTGGGGCATCTGAACAAGGGAACATGAGCATGTGGGGATGTGGGGCCAGCAGGCCTGCACACCTTGAGGAAAAGCGTGCAGTGGACCAAGGTAGGGAACCCCACGGTACCCAGACATCCAGCCTCTCTCAGCAGCGCTCAGCACCCCAGACACACACAGGCAGACAGTCCAATATAAACACGGGTACAGACTGATCCCGACCACCCCCTCCTGCCCCTGCACACGCATTGTCACGCGACAATGCGATGAACTCTCTGGTGGGGTGCCCCGTGCCCACCCCTGGGAGACACCCAAGGCCTCTCACGAAGGGACAGGCAGCAGTTCACTTCCTGCCTGGTGACAACTCTCCTCTCTGGTTACCTCCCCCCTGACCCTCCAACAGATGGTAAATTGTGGGGCCCTGGGAGGGGTCAGGACAGGGCCAGGCCGCCATGGCTGCAGCCGGGGTGGAGGAAGCAGCTGCTGGTAAAGTTCATAAACACGGGCCCCAGCTCTCCTGGCTTTCCTCTCCCAGGGGTGGGGCCCGCCCTGAGCTGCTCTCTTCCTCCAGGAAGTAGGGCAGCGGGGGTAGGCTTTGTCTCTGCCCCCTGCCTGCTGACCCCGCACAAAGACGAGCATGGCTGCTCGCCTGCAGAAGCACCCATGAGGGACTGCTGACCTCTCAGATGGAGAGCAGGGGGCAGAGAAAGGGGGCAACAGCGGAGGAGGTGCAGTTTCACCCCTGCTTCCCTGCTTCTCTCTCTCTCTCTCTCTC